AAATCTTGGCACTATGTGCAGAGCTTGAAAATGTATATCATGGGATTATAAAGTTTGTGCTTTTCAGATGGATCATAAATGTGTGTACCAATATAATCTCATCACGTTAAATTAAACTAGTCAGTTAAATATTTTACATATGTATATACTATGCGATTATATATTTTATGGAACAAGTGTGTATAATAATGAAAATGCGATGTAAAATAGTTTATAATTGATAAAAAAATTAACAAGTAGTGTGAAATTCAAATTATAAATATAAAATAATATTATTATCATTATAAATTAAAATTATTTATATAATATTAAAAATATAGTTGTATATATTTTAAATCTTAATACTAAATTTTATTTGAAATCAAAATTTAATCATACATATTTACAACTGAGTTTTGTGATAATCTATAAAAATTTAATTTTTATTTTCCATTTTTAGATAATCATAATCAGTAAAATAGTAATTTTTTGATAAAAACAAAAGAAAATTAAATTTTTTTTTATAAATAATATGAGCTACTCAAATAATTTATTTTTGAATAAAATTGTGTTATTCAATAAAATTAACGTATATAGTTCATTTTAAAATTTTAAGCACCTAATGTGTATATATATATATATATATTATTTCAGCCACTCACATAATTATAAAAATTAATGAAAAAAAAAAAATATATATATATATATATATTAACTCTTTGATGCGGATGGACTGCATTTTATAATTATATATATATATATATATATATATTAACTCTTTGATGCGGATGGACTGCACTCTATAATTTGAAAAGTAAGGCAAAATTTGTTTTTTCTTAATTATTTACTGTAATGTTGCGTTTTTCATGAAATACGCACCACATTTAACATTTTTGATTGGTAAATCTTTTTAATTTATCTCATCACGTACCAAAATCCATCTTGCTTTCTTGTTTCCATTTACCGATATAAAAGTTGATGACATAGTGCATTGAGGACGTCCACGTAAGATTAAAAAATTCGATATGATCAGTCCACATCAGCAATTTTCATTAAACAAAAAAATGTTAAAGTATGATTAAAACTTTAATTTCGATTTAATCATAGAAAAATTAAATAAAAAGTTTAAGTAACAAATAGAAAAGAAAATCATGTTAAAAACCCAAGAAATTGTATCCTTAAAATAAAATATAAATTATTTTCAAAAAAGTTAAACTAACAAAAAAAAACTAATATCATAAAAGTTATAACTTATAAAATAGCTTAAGAAAATTCTAACGTCTAAATTAAAGAAAAAGTATTTGTATAAAAGAAATTAATGTGATGTCTATGATACCTATTTGGAAAATCAACAATAAAATAGTTTAATATTATAAAAAGAATATAAGTCCTAAGTATATCAAACATACAAAAAGTATATAAACTAAAATAAATAAAAAATTACTATTAAAAGATGTAAATTATCAAAAAAAAAAAAATCAAAACAAAATTATTTATAATTACTTTCATAAAGTTTTTGATTTCTAAAGTATTAGTATCAACAATGCATAACTATCTAAAGTCGCAATAGGTTTACGTGAGTTTCTAAACCAAACATATTTTTAAATATACAATGATTAATACACTTGATGTTTCTGATTTCAAAACTAACAAAGAAAAACACTATAATAACATTACACTCGATATTTAACAAGTATTAAAATATGATTTCTATACATAGTCACTACTTATATCTGAATCAACATCAATAACACATTCTAAAATTCTATTTAAATAATAAAGTGTGACATAGTTATGAATCAAACTCAAATTGTTATATGTAGATGAAATATTCAAATCAAAGCATGCATATTGCACACAAAAGATAAAAACACTGAAAAATAATGTAAAAACTCCACATCATTGATCCTACAAGTTTGAAAACTAAAATTATCAAATATTAGACTGTAAAAAAATAGATATCAATAAAAACTAAATAAAAATATAACATAAAACTCTTGGAAGACATGGTGGAGAATAAAAAAATGGTTTTGCATGATCATTGCAGCTTTCTAACAAAATTAAAAGCGAATCAGCATGAATTATGGATTATATATGCAGTGGTACACAACATTAATAAGACTTTCAATAAAAAAAACTAAAAAATTGAACACATAAACCTTCAAGAAAAAACGAACAATAGAAATTCTATGGAAAACAGAAAATACTATCAAAATCTTAGCAAGAAAAACTTTCTCTAAATCAAATGTATATATACGTCAAAGTTGGATAATACGATAGGTGTCATTGTTATTATTTTACCTAATAGTTTTTAAAATTTATAAATAAAAATAGGAGAAAATTACACATTATATATGAAATTCTCTTATTTAAATGAAAATTTCTATAAATATATTATAGTTTTAATAATTTTAAAGACAGTAGCTAAAAAAAAAATTAAGACAAACTATTAATACAGACTCGCGCATAGCGCGAGTTATATACCTAGTATTAAAAAATAGTTTTTTTGTTTTTTTCTTGAAAACATAACAAGTGTGTCTGGGCCTTATAAGTTCCACTTTTATAATAAGTATATGTAGGGTTGAGCAAAATATCTATTAGATCCGTTCTGAGCCGGTATTTGCTTCGATTCGATTTGAAAAATCTGTATATGTATAAAGTTTCGGAGCAAAGTAAATAGTAAAATGTAGTATATGTATAAAACAGATCAAATCATAAATGTTTTTAGACAACGTCGAATATCTGATCTGATATGTATCTTTATTAATTTACTATATATTAATATATTTTATCATGCATATATCTATCATATTATAAAAATTTTATTTTATTTTTATTAATATACTATCAATTTTTTTCATAAATTTTTTATTGTTTCTAAATTATTTTGATTATATAAAATAGATGAGTAAATAAAAAATAATAAAAGGTAAATAATATGTTTAAAACTTATAATATGTTAATAAATAATATTTTCTTTTGTATTAGCTAATAAATATCAACAAAATTTTTTTATAGTAAAGCTTAATATTAGAGTTTCAAATAGTTAATGTTATTTTTAAATATAAAATATCATTTTTTCCTCATCTTAATTTGTGTAGTTTTATCCTTTATAGATTATCTCTAAAATAAAAAAAATCCTTTATTTATTATTCACTTAATAATTTAGATAAATTTTTATTTTTAATAAAAGTTGATGTATTTTCAGATTTTTGTTTCTATTAAACGGATCAAACTAAATATCCATAAATATTTATAAATACCTATAAATTTTTTGGATATTCAAAAATTCAGATATTTAGATATTTGTAGAACAAATGGAATCATAAAACTAGATATCTATTAAAAATGGAACAAATCACAAATTTTAGAATTTTTTTGGATATCTGCTATGCGCACACGGCACACCCCCTAAATATACAAATGCTACATACGTCTATAATTTTGCTTTTATATTTGTTCATTGTTTTAGTTTCCCTTTTCTTTACATTAATCATATTAACATACTATGCTATCATTAAAAAGAAAAAAAAAATCCAGTACGTCCTTATGATATGATATGGTTGCACATATCGATAACGAAACTATTTACTAGCATTCTTTATACATTAGTAATTCAAATCCTTGATTAAAATTTGATTTTTCTATTGGTCTTTTTCCTTTGGCCAGCCATTTTACATTTTTTTTACTCGTTCACCTATATCATCATATATATTCTTGGTTAAAATGTCCATGATACAATATTTGAAAAATCAATAAGAGTCACAAATCATTAGTCACAAATCGTAAGACTCAATTTAAAATTTTTTGTTTCTTAATTTATTTTTAACCAATGGGTATTTGATTAACCAAGGGATATTATCTAATATTCATGTTTTAAAAATTATATTGGTTTGGAGTTGTTCTGATGGAAATCCTCTATTGTAGATCGGCTTTAAACCCGGTTTTGCCGAGTGAACATCCAGGAAGGTACGCATTCTTTCTGTTTTATTTTGTACATTCAATTACTTGTGTGAAAACTGAATGTTGGACGAGGTACAACAATTTGAAGAAAGAGGATGAAACATTTTGTGTGGATCCTGAGCGTATGAAATGTCTGTTTTAGTCTTGTCAATTAAATGGGTGAAAAATGTGAATAATAAAAGAAGTTGTGGTATCGTTTTTTTTGGTTGATGTTCAGTTGAATTTAGTCATTTACTGGATCCAACTGATAAGGGAAAATATATAGAGAAACCAAAAAATTCAGTAGTTTAACATCGAATCAACACATAGAGAGACACTTGTAAATATACTTTAGTATGGAAAAAAGGAGGAGACGATGACAGGACCAAGATGATGAAGACATTAAAAAGAAGCTAAACAGATCTCAGCCTCGGGTTTGTTAATCACATTCTTTGTTTAGTGTCAGCGACGTCGTATGGCATATGAGACATGTAAAAGTAAAAATAAAAGAAAATGCGGTGAGCGTGGGATCGAAATGCGAATGGAAAATAGATGTGATTAACAAACCCGAGGCTGAGATCTGTTTAGCTTCTTTTTAATGTCTTCATCATCTTGGTCCTGTCATCGTCTTTGGTACTATGAATTGTATTAATGAACATGTCAATCATCTTTTTATTATAAATAATAAATATTATTATTAATTAATTTTTATTAGAATTTTCATATTGGCACGTACATAAGGACCAATCATAGTAAATATTCTATAAATTAATATTTGGTAAATTAATAAATTCTGTAAATCAATAGTTTTGCCTGATTTCAAAATTTATAATCAATAACTATTAAAATTTATAAATTAATAATTTATCAAATGAATAGTTTTGTCTCATTCCAACATTATTAATTTATTGAGTTTTTATAATAATTTTAATTGACTGAAAATTAACTAATTAAAATATGGGTTAAAGCAATTTATAACATATAAGATCTAGCCATAACCAAAACTTGGTGGACAAGGTCGTTTTATTTGTATTTAATTAGGGTTTTCTTGCTTCTCATCAAGATACCCTATAGCCGTCATGTCTCTTCTCAGCCGGCTATCGAAGCTCCGCCTTGGGAAGCCTGCGTTGGTGAGAAGATCATCTCTTCTTCTCCTCTCTAATGGCTTCTCTTCTTCCTTTCGGCAAACCCCTCCTTGTTGGATCTACTGCGGTAAATCCTGTGGGGATGATCTCGAGAAACTCTTGATTCACAATTTCGATGGAACTGACAGCACTGTTTCGGAAAAGAAGGTGCCTCGCGAGATGGTTTCTCATTTGGAGAGGATAACGATCGGGGCATCTCATGGATGGGTAGCTACTCTCAAGGACGACGGAATCCTGCGTCTCCATGACGATCTCAACCCTTATGCGTCCGATACAGACGCGAAACGCATCCCTCTGCCTCCTCTTGCGACTCTGCCTCATTGCCAAACCAAAATCGTCACCAACGTGTCAATGTCCTCTTCTTCTCCTGAGGATGAAGACTGTGTCGTGGCTGTCAAGTTCTTGGGACCTCAGATAAGCTTTTGCAGACCCGCTAACAAACCCGAGTGGAGAAACATCAGGATCGAAAACCCTTGCTTCTACTCCTCCCGAGTCATGTTCTCCAAGAAACATGACACGTTTCGCATTCTCGGATCTGGAGGATACATCATCGGGTCATGGGATCTCAGCACAAAAAGGAACAAACCCAAGTTTCAGAGATTGAGGTTTCAAAACCTTCCAGAGCTGACTAAGACCAAACGGGATCTTTTGCATTCGTGTTGCACCAGCGATCACTTGGTCGAGTCAACATCCACCGGTGAGACTTTCTTGGTTAAGTTTTACAGGAGGGCCACCTCTAGTGGTGTGGTGTATATGAAAACGAGAGCTGTAATGGTGTTCAGGCTAGACGATGAAGGAAACGCGGTTTACACTCAAGACATTGGAGATCTCTGCATCTTCATCTCAATGTCTGAACCTTTCTGTGTCCCTGCTAGCTCTTTCCCTGGCATGTCCTATAACTGCGTCAAACTCATTGATTCCGACGAATACGGAAGTATCACGCCGGATCGCATCATTAGTAAAAGTTTTGGATGGGCATGCCCTTACTATATTCCACCTCAAAATATAGACTAGTTATATCTTCACAAGTAGATTTCACTGTAACCAGAACAGAGTATTTCTTATTTTAAATAGATATTGCATTTGCCCGTTACTGTTGTTGGTGTTGACTACTCTTTTGCTACGAATTAATTAAGCTTGACATTCGTATTATCTTCCAAAAATAGATATTGCATTTGCCCGTTAACGTTACACAAATTAAAACAAGCCTTTTGTTCCAAAAAAAAACATGTCTATTTATATGATGTAAGCTTATTGACAAAACCTATTTATTGAATTTTTGGAATATTGTTCAAATATAAATTAGTGGAAGTTGATAGTGCCAGTAATTTGTTGTGTAGCCATTTTTAAAAACACCTACCCTTGCAAACGTAAAACATAGTCAAAGAGTATAATGAGATAAGTGAATGAATTTTTTTTTTAAATTACAGTTTGAGAGACGAAGATATAAATATATATATAAAGTACATGTGAGTTTTTTGTTTAATTTATCTGATTATTATTATTGCTGCGAAGCTTGAAAACGACGTTGGCGCTTGCCATGACCCGTGAGTCTTCACAAGGCTCAATTAACATCGTAAGACAAATATACTTTTATTTTTATTTAGATGATCGAATAAAGCCCATTATGACTGAGACAAATCTTAAGAACATCATAACTTTATTGTTTCATAATAATCTGTGTTACAAATAAGAAGAAGTCGATCACAGAAAATTATAAAGACACCAATTTTAGTCAGATTATTATATTATGCTGAAATGAGACAAAATCTTTAAAAAGACAACGCAATTGGCTTGTTTTTGGGAACACATTTGGTTGATTGATGTTTTGCTCGAACATATATCTATCAATGGTTTTTGCAAATTTTGTTTAATGCTCTTATGTAGTGCCAAAATGTCGTTAAGGCTTTGCTTTAACAAAATTTGACGATATTAACCTCTCAGTCAAGGCACTTATCTAGTTCTCTTAAAAACACATAAAATTGTTCAAGCATATAAATGATGTTAAGTTGGTGATGTAAACAAGATATTAGCAATTTTCCAAGCATTTAAAGCTTTCTGAGAAATGGCTTGCTTACCGATGGGAAGAAGTGGAGATGTAGCACAGATGCTTTGTCTGGTCAGAAGTACTGCGATAAGCACATGCATACATGTATCAAGAAGAAGCATCCAGTAGAAACTACTAACTCACATGAGAACAGCTGCTAGATCTGTGTCATGCAAAGATGGAGATGACAAGAAGCTCTCTGTTCCAGCCCTGTCCCGAGTTTCTGATGCGAAGAGCCGCAGAAGTTGCAGTACCGACACCACCATTACTGATGCAGCTTTAAGGGGTGAAGAAGACAATGAGGAGGTCTTGTCATTGTGTTCTTGTTTAGAAGCATGCAAATGTTGTCGAAAGATCTTGATGCTACTAGTTTCTATCTCTGGATCCTTCTTAATAATAATCTGTGTTAGAACTAGAAGTAGTAAGAAGAAGTCGATCACAGAAACATATTAAGACACAAATTTTTGTCAATTTGACATTTTTTGACAATTTGTTTTTAATTAATTTGATTATCATTATTGCTAAGCACTAAAAACGACGACGTTTCAGGTATTCTCGTTAGCTTATGTACTGTTTGCCGGAATCTGAGGAAAGATGCGGTGGCGCTTGCCGTGAGCATATCGACTGGCTTTTCTTCAAAGGTCAGATCATTCACAAGACTCAATCGCTTGTCTAAATCAAATGTATTTTTATAATCGAACCGTCTCTGAATGTTAACAAATCCTAGAAATTGAGATTTTTTTTTTGTATGAACAATCTGTGTGTATTCCTACTCTGATCCTCTCATTTCTCTTGAAATCTCTCTACTCTTGCTTAATACTACCATCTGCTTCTATCGCCTCCTCCTGCAGAAGCTCGCTGGAATCTGACGAGGAAGAGGAGCTACGATCAATCTCTGCCGAATCAAGCATGGTTCGAAACCACCGAGCAGATTCTTTAGGAACCCTTGTGAGATTGTTCTTGTAGTCGACGTAGTAGATCCCGAACCGGACCGTGTATCCCGAGTTCCACTCCCAATTGTCTAGCAGCGACCACACGAAGTACCCTCTCACATCGCAACCATCGTCCCTTATCGCAGATGATAAGTTGGAGAGGTAATCTCTGTGGAACCTGATCCTCTTGTCGTCTTGTAATGCCTTCTCCATGTCTATGAACGGGTTGTTCTTCTCATCCATACCTACATTCACCTCTCGATGCTCTTAAAGAAAAACATTTTTGGGAATTTGAGAGAGAGAGAGAGAGAGAGAGGCTTACCGTTTTCTGTGATGATCACAGGAGGGTTTCCATAGACGTCTTTGAGATACACTGCGAGCTTCTTGATTCCCCATGGGACAATGTGTAGCCAGCTTGACCCTGCCTGGTTTCAAAGTAAGCTTCTTTCATCAGAATTGTTGTTTAGTTTCTTTGAAATTAGCGAGTAAGGATTAGTGAACGAACATACTCTTTCTCCTATAGCTACTCCTCCACGGAAAGCTACAGCAATTAGAGAGCAAAACATCAGTTTACTTTATCTTGTTTTGTAGCTTGTGATATGAGAGATGGTGTGTATGAAGTATGAACTTACAGCTTGTGATAACCGCTGCATCAGAAGAAGCATCTTGCAGAATCAGTTTCCTTATCCGAGTTCTGTCGTTCCTCGCGTATAATGTCGTGTAGTGGTTGATCCCCAAGAAATCAAATGCTCCTTTTATGCTTTTAGACATCTCTGGCGTTATCTTTGGCAGTCTCTTTTCCACTAGACTCTTCATTGATTCTGGATAGTCTCCGTTGATTAGAGGATCCATAAACCTGTTTTACATAATCTTATTCTGTCACTTCTGTTTTCTTTTTCTTTTTATATTCAAAAACATTCCTACGAAAGGATCTTGTATTTACCATCCAATACCAAAATCCATCGCTCTACGAGCTGCATCCCTGTCCTCATCACAATCAGACATTGGCTCATACCATTTTGCATCTAACGATATCCCGATTCGACCATGTTGTTTGTCCTGCATATAGAGATTCCCACGTTTTTTTATTCCGAACCATAAGATGATCATTTTTTTCTAGTTCTGTTTCCTTACCTTGAAGTTTCTCTGGTAGGTGTGGTAAGCAGCAGCGTGAGACAAGAGGATGTTATGAGCTACAACATACGGTTCGACCGATGACTTCCCTTTCTTACAGAACCAATGCCCCAGAAGCGAGCACCTCCCTGGAGCTTGTATCCCCGTGTCATAGCCTTGGATCGATAACCCTCTTGGCTCATTGAAAGTGATCCAGTACTTGACTCTATCTCCGAATGCTTTGAAACAGGTGAATGCATAATGCTCGAAATCATCCCTGCAACAATTGTTTTTTGTTTATAGCTTTTTGATCCAATAGATCATTTCAACATATCAAGATTTCACGTTTTGCAACAATAGATCATCTGAACATATCAAGATTTCACGTTTTGATCCAAAGTTCAAATACTCACACCACTTCTCTGCTTAGCCATCCTTCATATCTGTCTTCTAAAGCTTGTGGGAGATCCCAGTGATACAATGTCACATAAGGTTTGATTCCTTTGGCTAAAAGCGTATCTATGAAGCTGTTGTAGTACTTGACTCCCTCTGGGTTTGCTTCACCTGATCCATCTGTTAAACCATCAAGATTAACAAACCCTTCTGAAACGCACAAAACATTACTCTTATGACAGCTAAATGAATTAGACTTACTAGGGAATATTCTTGACCAAGATATGGAGAATCTGTAAGCATCCATTCTCAGATCTTTCATCAGGTCTATATCACTCTGTGAAATCAAAAAAAAAAATCAGAAAAAAGTGTTTAAAGGTTGTTGCTTCTTAGATTCTCTCATGTATTATTCCCTGTTGCGTCTTATCTCAGCTTTTGTTTGGATGAGGTTTCTCTATGGAGAAGCAACCCTTACTTTTGTCTTGAAGCTTATATGTCAACTAATGTTCGGTTAAAACTTACATGAAATCTATGATATTGATCGACCGTAGTATCCGCATTGCTGAAATCCAATATCTTTCCTGTCGATTAAGAACAATAACATTAGATTGACTTTTCTGGGTTTCTTTGTGACGTTTTCTGGGTTTCTTTCTTTGATACCTGGTTTCTTGGTGAATGTGTCCCATATGCTCTCGCCTTTGTTTCCTTCATTCGCAGCTCCTTCAAACTGATTTTCTTGCAAGAAAGTGTGGCAATGATCACAAAGTCTTGACTTTTTTTGAAATATTTCTTGGATCAGATTGGAGAAGGAAGAAGAATGTCACCTGGTAAGCTGAAGAAGCTGTACCGAACACAAACCCATCTGGAAAATTCGCTCTGCTGATAGATTCTGACGAAACCTGATGAAGAGACGCGAAGACGACGAAGAACAGAACCAGAACCATGACGAGTCTCGTGATAGTGAGAGGGAGAGAGAGAGAGAGAGAAGGAGAGAAGTTTTCTTTGTGGTGGAATGAAAGATTTGGAGGCAAGAAATAGAAAATGAAATTTCTGTGTGTTTTTAATTTGTAAAGTTGAAGAAGAAAGGAGAAGAGTGCAAAGCAAAAAGGTCTTTTTTTTTTTTTTTGAAGGCTCTTGTTTGGTGTTGACATTTGTTTTCTCTCGTCGTGTACTGTACACGTTTCTTTTACTTCTGCTTGCTAAAAAAACTAAAAGTGTACTCTAAGATGAATACAATTTGTCAGTGAGACATTCCATTCACTTAATAAATATCATATGTTTTATTATTATTTTTTGTCTAGAGAGACTTGATTTTTTTGGTTATATCTTTGTAACTCCAGCAAGAAGATAATCAAATCGAATTCCTAAATCTAATTTATTTTTAGTTGAGTTTATAAATTAGTGGAAAAATTAATGAGTAGAGGAGAAATTAGTAGAAAATTAGTTTATGCCTTTACAGCATGCTGATGTTTTTGCTTTTTACACACATGTTAATATTATGATTTTAAAGTTCATTTATGTATTTCAATATATCTTTTTGTTTCAAGTTTTAATTACAATTTTTAACCAAAAAAAAGTTTCCATTACAATTACTTGTATAGACTATAGAGTGCTAAACTAAACGCACAAATTTTTCATACCATTTCTAAACATCGACAAAAAACGGTAATTTGATATGTTCTGAAAGTTTTTTACTTTCGAGTTACTGAGGTAATTCAGGGGTATACTGGTCATTTCATCGAACGCCTTCTGTGTCTCGGGCCATTTTGTTTTTAGGTCTTCTCTCTTATGCATAAACCCTTTGTACGCAAAATCAATCGATTGATCGGTTTTTTGGTTTAGGGTTTTAGCTCTCAAGTTAAAAACCTTTTTCTTCTCAATCGGAAGAAGATCAATACGCCGATCGGTCAATTGAATCTATGGCGATGGCTATGAGACTCCCGGCGATAGCGAGAGCGGCGACGGAAATGGCTGCTGCTCCGATTGGATTGAGACGTCTCTTCTGTTCGAATGCTCCGAAGTTCTCGTTTCTTTCTCCTCAAGCTGAAGCCAATACTCCGGCTCGTCCTCAGGCTGAACCCAGCACCAATCTCTTCGTCTCCGGTAATACCACTCTCAGTTTCATTTCTGGGTTTTTAGGGGTTTATCGTTTCTTTTGGGGGTTTCTGTTCTGATGTATGCCGAAGATCCTTCCTTTTGATTGAGATTTAGGCTTCGAGGTCGAATATGGATCTCTTAGAGCTTAGCATGTGTGTCAAGTATTTGCAACGAGAGATGGATTTGTGTTATTTCTCAGTCTGTATTGACGATTGCATCGCCTAGGAATCAATTGAAATAGTGAAAGTTAGCTTCTTTGCAGTTCACTTTTGATCATTTGTCTTTATAATTTCAGTATTTGTGGTTCACATTTGATCGGCGTACTAGAATGATTCTCTGTGTACTGTATATCTTGTCTCCGTTGATAAATCTGGGCTGTTCCTAGCATGATTGCTGTAAGTTTCTTACTAGTATCAATGAGTTTTAAGACGCAGCTTAACATTGGACGTTGGATACAAACGCTGTATTCTTTGTTTCTTGCTTTGATCACATGCTTTCATTAATGTTGCATCTGATTGCTATCTTCGTGTGGATCTATATCTTGTTCTGTTCTGGATGCTGTGTCTCAGTTTCCTCAAGTTTCTTTTCGTCATGTTATCTTTTTGTTTATGAAAGCTTGAAACTTTGAAATCTAAAAGGACTGTCTTTGTTCCAAACTGATTTTTTTCAGGGCTTAGTAAACGCACCACTTCTGAAGGACTTAGGACAGCTTTCGCTCAGTTTGGAGAAGTTGCTGATGGTAATAGTCTTACCTTATTATATACATTTACGTGTATCAGAACCAGTCGATCAGAGAACTAACTGTAACGATTCATTTTCTCTCAAATTGGTTTTTGTAGCTAAGGTTGTCACAGACAGAGTCTCAGGATATTCAAAAGGGTTTGGATTCGTTCGTTATGCCACCTTAGAAGATTCTGCAAAAGGCATTGCTGGAATGGATGGGAAGGTATAATATAATATTATTCATTCTAATTTTTAAAAACCCAATTATCAAAACACTAAAATGTAATCAAACTAATTCTCTTCTCTGTGTGTTCTCTGCAGTTTCTTGACGGTTGGGTCATATTCGCAGAGTATGCAAGACCAAGAGAGCAATCGCAGTCGTATCAACCTCAGAACAACATGTCTCGTCCTCCATATAATAACCGCTATTGAAGCAAAGCTTGTTCATGAATCATTGAGCATTTGTTCTTGATGAATCTTTATGTTAGTGTTATGCTTCATTCTATTATCTACTACATGATCGGATTGTCTCTTAGTAGTGTCTTGTACCTTGAGAAGTTCACAAACTTATTAAGTGTAACATCTCTCTGAGGAAGATATGGCAATCAAGCTTACATCGTTAGGTACCATAATATATTTTAATATATTCCCCATTTGACTATTGGGAAAATGCTCCATAGACACAAATAATAGGGGTTTTGGACCTTTTGGTTTGATTGAGTTATTATGTTTTGAATTAAAAATTATATTTGTGAACCAAAAAACTTTGAACCCAATCTGATTGAACACTTTCATAAAAACCCCAATGGGTCCGTAGAAATTAGCCAATCACTAACTCACAATTTGTTGAGATGATTGAACCTTTTCATCAAGGAACCATTATGATGATTTTAACAAATGGGAATAAGTCATTGGCCCACACAACAAAACAACATCGAGTTCTCAAAAAATTTCACGTGGAGCTGTCTAGAATCTACACGAACATTTTTTGTAACATGTGGACCGAAAAAAAACAAGAGAAATATCAGACACAAATGGCTTATACTAAAAGTTTTTGCAATAAATGTTACAATGACAAAAAAGGAAATAAAACGAAAGAGATACCGTTCATACTATAACATTCCTTTGCTGTCAAAATTCCGTTTGGTGAGACAATTCCCTCTTTCTCATGCAACCAATTCTATGTTACACAACTCACACCATATTACTCAAAAACAACGAGACGCATGGCTCTCTCTCTCTTAAGTCTATTTCAGCTACAATTTTTGGAGTATACTTATAGCTTGTAATGGTGAGTGTGATATGTTTTTTGTTCTTTGATTGTCTAATCCTTAGACCGACGTAAAATGTTAGTTGTAGTTATAGAATGTCGACCGCAACGTGTAAAAACTGCCATTGTTTCCAACTTCCAAGTTTAAGGAGTAGCCACAAGTCAAACTTAGCTTCATCAAGTAATTAAATGCGATTCTGAGCAAGTTTCAAATCGGATAACGTTTCTGATCAAGTTCTTTTTCGTCGACAATGATCTTATCATTCTTTTTATCACGTCAAATTAGCTAATACGTAATCCTAACCACATAATATGATCTTGAGATTAGGCTCCTTATTCTGTTCGATCATGTGGGGACCGGGGATATGATTATAGATTCGTATTAATGTTCGATCAAGATATATATCTTGCGATTACATTGGCCCCTGACACCTAGCAAGTAACAACATAACTAACTGAATGACTCTGTATTTCATAAAAAAAAATTATGTTACTAAAAAGTTGTCGTATTAATAAGAAAAGGAGTGCATGTATATTTATATTACTTTAGTTAATAGTTACTACAAACAAATTAACAAGAGATGAGTCATCGTCGTTTTTGTTCCACCGCATGTGTGATTACTTTCAAACGTGACAGCATTTTGGATATGTCGTTCTCTGTGGTTGAAATAGGGTTTATAGCGAGTTGTTTTCATTTCCTGAATTAGTTATACATAATATTTAAGTTGGACCGTTTCATTTTCCATATCGTTAAGAGATACGAGCATGTTCTGATCCATTTAATGTAGTTCTTATCTACAGAAGTTTAAATTTAAATTCTCACTATATACATTTATTACAAGGTTTTCTCATTGACACGTATAATAGCACATCATTGGTATACCGATTGCATCATCATACCATCAAATATTATTACGTACCTGGGACTCGATGTTGAAAAAACAAAAATGATAGAGATATTGAATTTGAATAATTTTAGTTAGTAATAATAGATCAAGAATATTGTAGCTTGAACCCTTTTTATAAATAAAAAAAAAGAATATTGTAGCTAGGTTTATATTTAATTCAGTATGCAATTTTCACTTAGATTTGGCCACCATGTAATGTAACCGTAGCTTCCTTTCAAAAAATATTATACAAACCCGACAAAATCAACAAAAAAATACATTATATTTGTTCATAAACCGTTTCGAAAGTGGTTTTTAGTTGGTTTGTATTCTCGTACGAGGCTACCACCAAAAAAAAAACCAAACCGAAATCGAAGACCCATCTCAAGCTTACAATTACGTAAGATATCTTCAAATTAAAGAGACATCTTATTACAACATTGTATCCAAACATAATCAATCGACATCTAATAGACTAATATATAGATGCAACTATAAAATTTGTTACATATGTATTTTGAACTCGTAATGTAGACCCACCAAAGTTAGTTTGTTTCTGAATTAAAAAAATAAGAAACATGTCGGAAAACATTTATAAGTGGTCAAAAATTATCCTCAATAACAAACAAAAAGCATTTTTGTATACTAGGGATGGATACAAGTTCCAGTTACGGAACACAAAAGTGATTCACGTCGACAATAAGACTCTACTTCAAAAGAGGTTCAAGCTAAAAATGTTTACACGATTTCAGATTTTAATATGTTTTTATTTTTTAGATATCTGTAAACAGATTTCTATACCAAATATGGTTCTTGGCAAATTAGACTCGAGACGACGAGGTAACTAAAATGAATGATGTCTACGACTCTACCAACCGAGCCAATGGAGTATATATAAGTCTATGGTGTATCTTTTATATAATAATAAAAAAAAACCATTTGGACACAATTATAACGTTGATTATGAGATTAGGCAATGAGAGACATCATCTCTTGAGTTCAACTTAAACCAGCTAGCCCTTTGTCAAAAAAAAAAAAACTTAAACCAGCTAAAAGCAAAAGTTATTTTCGGTTTAAGATAAGGTGTCAAGGGTAGTTTAATAATAATGCCAAAAATCTCATGTCCACGTAATCAAATGAGTCATTCTGGACTTGACTTACTCCTATAAATTGCACTCTGTTTCAGAAGAGAATCACCACTTCAAATTACTTTCTCTAACATTTCTTGAAATAATCTGTAAACATCAAAATATTAGCCCTTTTTTTAAAAGGAATTAAATTCAGGTCTGTATTAACAAAAAAAAAAGGAAGAGAAGGGTTTAGGTGTGTTGTGGTTTAGGGTATGAAATTCTTGTTGGAGCTTGTCGTGCCTTGTTTTGGTTCGCAGCAGTTCCACCAATCCGCCGCATCCGCGGATGATTCACTTTCCGTCGAAACGCAGTCGCTGATGAAACAGCGTAGGCGGAGGAAACGCGTTAGAGTTGCGGGTCAACCGGGACAAGTGGCAGAGTGGAGACCGTCCCTCAGCGTGATCTCGGAGAACAAGCCGGCGATAACGGAGAAGTCGGAAAAGGTTGAAGAAGAGAGGAAAGTCCGTCGGAAAAGTGAAAGCAACGGCGGAGAAGCGTCGTCCCGATCCGGTGGTGGTCATGTTCGTTTCAGCAGTAACGATTTCGGGTAAACATACACAGTTCTTGAAGTAACAAATTTCACATGATACTTTTAGTCTAATCAGTACTATACTATTCATGATTATATATATTTCAATCAATTATAGAATTTTGGACATTAAGAAATAAGAATGTTCCAAACGTAATAATCTGCTTGAGTAACACTGTTTTCTCTCAATGTAATTTATAAAAAAAAATAGAGATAAATTTATATGGATAAGATAATCATGGTAGTTAAGATGCTATTTTGTGGATAAAGATTCGATATAGTTGGGATGTCAACATCAGTATGTTAATGTTTATTCGAGTAAACAAAAGTCGTAAATGGAGAACTTAGCCAAAATAAACTTAATGAGAAATTCTGTTAATAAAATGGCAAAAGAATAATTGGTGAATTATTGTTTTGACGTTTATTTTATTTTTGTTTTGTGGGTTTTGCAGGAGAAATGCTTTCGAACCAGTAATTCCGGCGTTCTCACCGACTCCGTTCATGTTTTGAGTTTCAGTTTCTTGTTAAGTTTGTGTATCCATATAGTAATGGAACGATGTAGCATTAATGTATATATTTCTTTCATATTTATCTTCTGCCACCGATTATATATATTATAAACTTATGCGAAGCTCAAACAAAAAGAGTTTGTCTATGTTGAATACGTTTGAGATTCCTATGCAACATGTATAGAGTAACCAAGACGTCTATTTAAAGAACAAAATCATGTGAAAACAATGCACAACCTAAAAACACAAACACGCTTGCTACGACCTTATTTCAAGTATTTACCAAAATATTTGGTTGAAATCAGTTTCTTCAATCTTTTTTTTCTTTCGAAAATATCGTTTCTATCTATTGAATAACTTTTTTAATCTCACTCAAGCATAAGACTGTACCAAAGACCGCTTATAAACATGGTTCAAAACTTGACAGACTTTTCTTTCTCCACTTGAGCATTGGAGAACTTTCGAAAAGAAATTAATTTGTCATTTTGAAAGCTATCATAACATTGCTACTGTCTCAAAAACGCTTCATAACATTAAGAAACCGACGAGCATGAAGTTTAATAGGTTTAATGATAATTATTTGATTGGTTTTCTTAGCCTCTAGATAAGTTAATTTACATTATGATATGTTTTTTACTTTTTTTCCATCAAAATCTTTGTTGGACTTTGAAGGGTTGCTTCTTGAATTTTGTGGGTGTGGCTGTGTTATGGGCCGAAAGCCCATTTAATCCCAATGTTTTTTTTCTGAATATGTTCCTGAGTAAATACCTAATGGAACGTCAAACAGGGAAAACAAAGAGAGACACAACTATATTAAATTGTCATGTAGATCAAAGAAAATACTTGTACGACCCTTAAGCTTAAGTTCTCAAACCCTAATATATTACTAAAGGGGTTAACGCGTTTTTTGCATCTCTAATCACATTCTCACATGTAGTCTTATTTTATATAGCCTTTTACTTTTATAATCACTAAAACTCCAAATTCGTGTACATATATATGTGTATGTATACAGTATACGACTATGTTAAATATGGAGACATGAGAACATGGGGATGTACCGTGCACGTGGAGAAGACATGTATTGCTTAATGATCATGCGACCATGGAACAAGTAAACTTTGAAACTTGAGGAATATTTGCTCTCAAGTTATCAAATTAATCTCATCCTCTCAACTTTAAGTCTTATTTTTTTGCTTCCCTTTCTATATATATTAATCTATTGCTAATATCCAATCATTGTCTTTACCATTTATTGTTTTAAGAACTCGCTACCGGTAAACTTATTACTAATATTTAACTGACTTTCGATAATTTTCATATTTTTAACACAGCATAGAATAAAAAACTGACCTATTGCACTATTTCAACAATGTTATGGACCACATTCAAAATCTAAAATATTTAATTATATATTTATCAATATAATCCGAACTCAAATTCGCATTATATTTATGTATGTTGGTGAAAAGAAAAATACATATATTAAACAAGAAACCCATTTAAATATAGATCAATTTGATTCACTTTTTTGACGGCGATTAACTTGTTAATTGTATACTGATCATGATCATGTGCAAATGCATATGTGAAAGCACCTTTTCTACGAAGGTCCGGGCATATTTGCTAGTGGCAGATGGTATAAAGAAGAAACAACACGTTTTCGTATAAATTTGCGTACTTGTCAACTGTCATTTGCCTAATTTTCAATACAATCTCGTCTCTTGAAAAGAAAAAAATTGTCGTTGATCTATAGATATATATAGAAGATTATAAACACAAAGAAGAGAAAACTATACCAGTATCTTGTGTTGCGCCTCCACTCTCTCCTCTGCTAACGTGAAAATAATATACACTGTATAATAGAAGAAAACAAACATTATAAATCTTGATAAAATAACAATTTCCGAGTAGTGTATATATATATATATATATATATATATACAAATGATCTCTCTCATACATGTTATATATAAAGTGGTCAAATACATTAACATGGAAGATGTTCACGTGTTCTCTTGGTTGTCTTGGCTTAAGCCACTCTGTATAATCGAATAAGTGCATTGTAATTTTGTGTGTGTAACACTTCGTCAATGTTTACAATAATATTTTTTTGAAGAAATGAATTAATACAACAATACTATATATTGTTTGGCAAACTTCACTCATAAACTTGATATTCACCACAAACTAACAGACTTATAACCCTAGATAGATATATTTCTTCTTTTCTTTGATTGAGTGAATTGTAAAGTTAACTGAAACTAATTATGAGTTACTTTTCCTAAAACCAACTATTATATTTTGAAATTGTTTTTAATTCAAATCTTGCCATTTTTTAGCATTAAAGCTCTTTCAATGTTTTGGGTAAAAACTAATATAGAACTTAACTTTTGAATGATAAAATTGCATCATCGAAGTGTGAGAAGAAATGTCTTTTGACGTCAATCTTTAGAGTGCGAAAACGTTTTTTAATTTCGTCATTCTTTCGTGTACTTGGGGTGAATATCTTGTCCAAGTATAGTAGAATTACTGATTGTTATAGAGATATTGGAATTACTTGCGGCAGTAATTCCGGGATTTATCTTATTTTTATCCATTTTAGTGCAGACACACAAAGTAAAGAATCTTTTACTAAATTTTCGAGTTAACACTAGCGTTTAAACTAATATAAATGTCAGAAGAGCTGAATCAAGTTAACATACTCTACTTTGATTTCTCGGATATTGTTAAAATGGTGTGGAGAAATCAGCAATTAATAGGTCGATTCGAATTGATTTCATTATGTTTTCAGTCTTTAGCAGCATTTTTAATTAGTTGAACAAATTATATATGTTTCTTTAAGGTTTCATTTTTTTTGAATGAAAATGAACTCCAACTATTAATAATCTTGAATGTGACATTAGGTGAATTAGGTGGATAGATGTAACTGCTTGATACTGGTTATAGACTTATAGTTATACATTTTATCTTCTCACCTATTATTAAACTACACCCTCTCAACTGCATTGATATAAATAAAAATATCTAGATAATGTAATTTCTATCATCAAATCAAACAAATAATATAGTTACTCCTTTTTAACTTCAGATATGAATTTCCGCTAAGTTGGTGAGATTAAATGATAAAGTATTTATTGGTCGACAGAAAAATGTTATTTCGATTTTTAGGTGATATATATAATAGTAAAAAAATGTGATAAAGAAAATAAAATACTAATCCAGAGGGAATACAATAGACCGTGATGAAGGTAATCAAAACCCGTCGCGGGAAAATACAAAGTCCACACACTACGAATGTACGACCCAAAAGGATAAATTCATCCAATCATGATTATCACAGCCATATTCGTGGGACCCATAATGCACACGACACAAAGTTACATTTTCTATAGATATTTTTATTTTTATATACGGCTTTCTTTTGTTGGCAACAAAATATTTGATCCAATATTTCTTTATTTTGTTGGAAAAAAAGATACTAGTTTTGTCCAATATCCGAAACTACTGTACATATTTTTCTATATATTTTTCACAATAATTTATTTATTTTAGAATGCGAGTCAATATTCAAGAATTAGCAGATAATGCTTTGTACTATTACCATGATGAGCATGTTACTCTTGTGAAATTAGCTAGCTATAGTTGTCATTAGATGAATGAAAGGATAACCTTTAAAACTAAAAAACTAAGCGACTTTTAAAACTAAATTGTAGGAAGCAAATATTTTGTCAATTAAAGTGTAAATAAGATATATCAAAAATTAAAAATATGTAATTTACGGATCATATAACTATTTACACAAAGTCACAAAGCAACATACTAGTAATTATCTTTTGATCTGATCCCAAACATTGATGTATGCTTGGAGAATATCGAAAACTGAAATCTACTAATACTACAATTTTCTTCTTTATAAGAAATAACGTCATTTCCAATAAAACAATAATTAAAGGGAAACAAAAATAAAAACTTTTCCGTTTCGTTCTTTAAAAGTTTCAAGTTTGAAGCAGACGTTGTTAAAATGTAAAAAATGAGTTTTACCGTAACCTTTTTTTACACATTTCAGAAGGGGAAAAAAAGTCACGAAGCTTAATTTTGTTGCCTTTTGTTATCGTTTGCTTCAAGTAGAACCTCTCTCTCTCAGTCTCTTTCTCTCACACACACTCTCTCTCTATTGGATTCTTTTCTCTGCAATCAAAGCAAAGCTCTGGAAATTTTGTTTTCTCTCCCTTTCTCTTCAAACTTTCTCTCTTCCAAGTTTCTTAAATCTAAAAGACAATTCAACAACCATATATCTTCTGTGGAAATGCATCACTTAAATCTACCTCTACACATTTCTAAAGGTAAGTGTGATTTTTCTCTGTGGATTTTTGTTGTTGTTGAGAAAGTCTTCTTTGGGTTTGGCTGCTGAAGAAGACGATTGGTGCAAAATTAAACGACGGAAAATTTATGGAAAGAGACAAAAAAGGAATAAAGAAAAGTTTTCAAGCGCCGTTTCAAAAAGTTTCCCGATTCTCGAGATGAATTTCAAATCCTTCTTCCTTTCTCCTGTTCACAAATTTTTAATCAGGATCTGAAGCTTTTGCTGGTTTCTACAAATTTTCCCGAGAAAACTCCCTTACTAGTATAAGCATTCGCTAAGAAAACTCTGAATTTTGCAAAATCCATACCTCTGAGCATCTCCTCCATATACCTCGTCTTATTCGGGTATCTTTTGAATGGGATGGGTTTAATTGTTTTTTTATTGTATTTTATATGATTGAAGATACGAATTGATTTCGCTGAATCTATATATATACGAATTTTTCCTCGCAAGCTTTCGTTGAAGAGTTTTCATGGTCAACTTCAGCAATTTTCTTATTTGACAAATTAGTTGTTGTCCTCCTCTTCGTCTCACATTGTGGCAATAATCAAATATTCTTTCATCATCTCTGATAAATTATTATTTGGTTTTTCTCTTTTGTTTGCAGAGGCGTTTACGAGAGCTTGAGGCATTAAGCTCTTGATTACATTCATTGAGAAATGGAAGGAGAATCCTTTGGTTTAATCGTTGGGATCTCACTGGGTTTGGTGATTGGTGTGGCGTTAGCTATCTCTGCACTGTTCTGCTTTAGGTACCATAGGAAGAGATCTCAGATTGTGAGCAGTGGGTCGAGAAGAAGCGCGACGCTTCCCATCAGAGAGAATGGAGTTGATTCTTGCAACATCATGTCGGATTCCACGCTTGGTCCGGATTCACCTGTGAAATCCTCGAGCAACGGGAGGTCTCTTTGGCTTGAAGGGTTTAGCAAGAGGAGCAATGTGATCTCTGCTTCTGGCATTTTGGAATATTCCTACAGGTTTGTCTCCTCCTGACAAGTTCCTGAATTTGCAATGCAATAAAAAAATATCTCAGATTCTTGGTTAATGTTTGCTGATAATGTTTTGTTGTCTGTTAACTAATTAGGACTTGAGTTCTCTTGTTGAAGTTCTTTGGTCATTTTTGCTCAAGTCTTAAATTTCTTTAGGAGAGGAATGCTGAGTTTGTTGGAGTGTTTAGTTTGGATCTGATGTTAGTGAATCATCAAGCTGAATCTTGAGGGATATGATGATTTTTTTTTTGCATTTGTTGGTCTTTTATACCAATGTTTAAACATGTTAGTTGGTGACTGATTCAGGGATTTGCAGAAAGCAACATGTAATTTCACGACATTGATAGGCCAAGGAGCATTTGGACCTGTCTACAAAGCTCAAATGTCCACCGGTGAGACTGTTGCTGTGAAAGTTCTTGCCACTGACTCTAAACAAGGAGAAAAAGAGTTTCAGACAGAGGTACACTTATGTAACCACTGTGCCTGATGATTCTGTATGATGTTCACAAAACATGAAGAATCCGTATTAGGAAGACTTGAATGAACAATGCTATTGTCTTGAATGAACCGTCCATATCATTTGTTGTCTGTTTCCACTAAACTCGTTCACTCGGCTGTTTTTGTACAGGTTATGTTATTGGGAAGGTTGCATCACCGTAACCTAGTGAACTTGGTCGGATATTGTGCAGAGAAAGGCCAACACATGCTTATATATGTCTACATGAGTAAAGGAAGCTTAGCTGCTCACTTGTACAGTAAGCAACTACTTTATTCTACATAATAACAATGTTTCTCACTGAATGAATATCACTGCATTGTTGAACTATTCAGTTTCTATTTATTGAACTGATGGTTTAAACTTCACCAACTGATGACCCTTCTTCATTCATATACATTTGAGACACACTAATATGCTTTCTCTTGATACAGGCGAAAAACATGAACCACTGAGCTGGGATTTGAGAGTATCTATTGCTATAGATGTGGCACGTGGTCTAGAGTATCTTCATGATGGGGTAAGCGAACTTTCTGAATCCATCCACCATCTTTAATGCATCTCTTAAGAAGACACAAATTTGAAAAGCCATGTTCTGTTCAAATTCTTTTTCCAGGCTGTTCCTCCTGTAATCCACAGAGATATCAAGTCTTCCAACATTTTGCTGGACCAATCCATGAGAGCTCGGGTAAAAATATCTTCTTTGTCCACTTGAGAGATCTCATTACCTCACGTTTTCTCATGGTGATGGTCTTTTCAACTTCAGGTTGCTGACTTTGGGCTCTCTAGAGAAGAAATGGTAGACAAACATGCAGCTAACATACGAGGAACGTTTGGTTATCTCGATCCAGAGTATATCTCCACGAGAACATTCACCAAGAAAAGCGATGTTTATGGCTTCGGGGTTTTGCTTTTTGAGCTTATAGCTGGAAGAAACCCACAACAAGGTCTAATGGAATATGTTGAGCTGGTAAAAAAACCAACATGATCCTCACATTTCCACATTTGTTTATTTGAGGAATTACATTGAAGACAACTTTTCTTTGTTTCGAATGAAATAGGCGGCAATGAATGCAGAGGAAAAAGTTGGGTGGGAAGAGATTGTGGATTCGAGATTAGACGGGAGGTTTGATTTACAAGAAGTGAATGAAGTTGCGGCTTTTGCTTATAAATGCATCTCTCGTGCACCGAGGAAACGTCCAAACATGAGGGACGTTGTGCAGGCTTTGACACGTGTCGTTAAGGTGAGGAAACGTCAGAAGAAGTCTCCCTCGCCTTCTCCGCCTCCTCATACGGTGGAGTCCAGTGGTGAGCAAACCGGAAACAGATCAATTCGGTCGGAAAATCATAGAAGAGATCATTCCATGGACAGCACACTTGAGGACTAGTGATGATGTGTTGAAAACCAAAAGGTGTTCAAAGTTTATAATTATAATATATGATTTTTTTTAATTGGATTTCATTCATTTTGTAGGTGGGTTTTATGATAATGATTTGTAGATTATGTTAGGAGGGGATAAACTGATGTTAATGGTAAACTGAAATTTGGTTTATAGGAGTGTTTGTCTATATCTTTTCTTTTGTGAATGAACAACAATGTCTTTTCTTGTTCTTTTTATTTTATTTTATTTGGTTTGTTGCGAAACGTGTTCAACTTTAAAAAAATGGAGAACCAAGCAACAAGGAACACAATTATTTGACATAATCGTTTTTTTTTATTAAGCTTCTTGTTTTTTATTTTGGAGAAAACCTGAGTATTTGATTGGGAAAAGCCATTTTTCTAGTTTTTGTTTTTGGGACTTGGGAGAACTAAAAAATACTTGATGAAGTAGGTGAATGAGGTCAATAAAAAACATAAACCAAAACTTAAATACAAAACTACGTGTTTGGGGGTATTTGACCATATTTAGCTTAGGCCCAGCCCAAGCCCAGTCTAAGTCAATTAGTTAAATTAATTGGTCGACAAACGGTGTCGTTTGAGAGTCGGGCGATAATCGTTATCCACGTTTTATCGTCATCAGTCGAACGGATAGGACGAAGAAGAAGAAAGAAGAAACAACTGTTATCCCACTTCGCAGTGGAAGTCGCAGAGCGGAGAACAAGTTGAAAAATGGCGACCATGTCTGCTCTTCAGAGCTCTTTTACTTCACTTTCTATTTCATCCAACTCCTCCTTCCTCGGCCAGCGTCTCCTTTCCCCGATTTCCCTCTCCGTCGCTTCTCCGGTAACTCCGATTCTCGAAATTCCGGCTCTAATCTGTCGCCTTAGGCTTTCAATCTCGTTTAGAGAATCTTAGATTCTGTACTTCACTTGGGTTTCGTTGTCATCCCTTTCGCTAATGAGCTAATGGAAGACACGTTTAGATTGAACCTGTAATTGTACGGGGTTTGATATCTTTCGCTGGACCTGTAGATAGCTTTCTCTGTTCGCTTTTGGTATGGGAAAATTGAATTCTCAATGCTCATTTGAAGAAATCTCTTTAAAACGAGTGAAAATTTGATATATTGTTCTGTATTGTTCATTTCTGTGTTTCTCCACTATGAAAGTATGTGTACTGTATGTACCATGGATTGAAGAATGTGCATTGTCTATGTTCTTCTGTGTTAGTACTGAATTGAGATGAAAGAATGCAAACTCAAATTTCAAAAGTTTGTGCTTTTTCGACTGATTCGACTAGTGACTCTTTTGAAATCTATGAAGGGCTTCTGCTATTAGTAATTACTGACTTTGTGGTTATTATACTCTATGAACGATACTAGCGTGACATAGCTCACATTTTTCAGAAGGAAGTGGTTTTTGTTGTGGCTTATTTGGTTGATTGTGGTTTTGCTCGAACATATTGAGTCAAAAGAATGGTTCTTTGCAAATTTTTTGCTTGATGCTTTAATGTTGAAAGTAAAGTTTCATCAGTTAGATGAATCTTTAATTACTCTGCTTATCGTTTGTACTCATTGCAGGTCAAGCCCATCGAGAACCCATGTCTTGTTTTTGCAAAGGTTAGTTCGCAGATCCGTTACCTCATACTATTGGTTTCCGATTCTGTATTATCCTGTTAATATAGTAGCTTTGAACCAGAAGACACCAAGTGTCAACCTTTCTGGATACAAATCTATGGAATTTACGAATGAGAACGAAGATGAAACTGTTGATTCTCATTCCTTGATACTTAAGTGCATCACCGTGACTGTTCTTATGCCGCTCTTTTTTCAGCTTAAGCGTTGGGAACGAAAAAAATGCAAACCAAACAGTCTTCCGATTCTGCACAAAATGCATGTCAAGTTTGGAGATACGGTCAAAGTAATATCAGGACGAGACAAGGGTAAGATTGGGGAAGTCACTAAGATCTTCACCCACAACAGCACCATAGTGATCAAAGACATAAACCTCAAGACGAAACACATGAAGAGCCGAGAAGAGGGAGAGCCTGGCCAAATTGTCAAGGTCAGTCCACTCAGATGACTCTCTCTTTTGTTGAATTTGCGAAATCACAAAAAAAAAAATCAAAATATTGTAGCTCGCTTATCCGGGTGAGGAGGATTTGAAGATTGTGCAAAACGTATAATATGTTTTTTGCAGATCGAAGCACCGATCCACAGCTCAAATGTGATGCTGTATTCAAAAGAAAAGGAGGTGGTAAGCAGAGTGGGTCACAAGGTCCTTGAAGATGGACAGAAGGTAAGATATCTGATCAAAACAGGAGAACTCATCGACACCATTGAGAAGTGGAAGCAACTTAAGGAGGCAAAGGATAAAGAATCAACCCAAGTTGCAGTTGCTTCCGCATCTTAGGATCTCACTTCTTTCCTCTTCCTCTTCATTGCTCTTTTGATGGATGTATTGAATCCTTTTTTTTTTAAGGTAAAGTATAAAATATCTACCAAATTAACACTTCCTATTCTTATTTAAGTTTTATTCAAACAATACAATCTTTAAGATCGTATTTTACAAAACAAATCTAGAAAGTTGAAGCAGATAAGCTAAACCATGGTCTCCAAGCTTTCGGAAAGTAGCCGACACTTGGGATTTGGTACTTTGTGCTGTTTAGTAAACTTCCACCTCACGTAGAATACAAGTGAGTATATGAGAAATCCGAATCCAACCATGAGATGCAGGTAGAAGGATATTTCGAGAGAGTACTTCATCCACACCGAAAATCCATAGGAACATACGAGAGGCACCATAAGAAAAGTATACCAGCAAGTATATGCTCTACCAACTGGTAAGAGTATAAACGTCAAGCCAACTGAAGTCTGGAATCCCCATAGTAGCACAATCTCTGACAAGACATCTATCAGAGATATCTCGTCTTTTTGGTCCTTGTCTACCGGTTGTACTGCTGTCTGATATGTAGCTGTGATGATGAGAGCTGTTATTACTAGAAGAGCGTTCCTTGCTCCGTCTGACATGCTGCTCATGTAACGTGCCAAACCCGTTTCGCAATATTCCCAGAGAGTGACCGGTGTTCTCAAGACGACAGACAGTGGCTTAACTTTGGATGAAGAGCTCCTCCCAGCTGATTTTTGTATGATTTTCTCCGTGGCTCTGTTCATCTGAGAGTCGTCTTTGGCTTGTAACACATCAAGGGCTGTCTCATTATCTTTGTTCTGGATGTTTGGGTTCAGATACATGCATTTCAACAGGTGTTCTACTGCCTGTATTATATAGATGTAATGTTGTTTTCAGCCTACTATTAATAGCACTATCACATTATGAAAGAAGCTAACAAAAATAAAATAAAAACAAATACTTAAGTTGTTGGGGTTAAAAATGATTCACTTAAAACAAATAGCATAAAAAAGTTGAATGTATGAGTTTGAGACAGTTTTTGTTTTCAAAAAGAAAAAGAACAATGTACCTTGTGATCATTCTCCTTCACCGCTAGGTGCAAGGCCGTGTTGCCTTTACGGTCACGTCTGTTCAGGACGTGAAACTCAGTGGACACCGCATCACTTTTGCGCCTTCTCTGTAGCCACCCTGTGAGGACTTTGAGCTCTTCATATTTTTTGTTCAAGACTGCGATGTGTAAAGCAGTTTCTCCATTCACATTCGCATCTCTAATGCTCTCAGGACATGCTTGAAGAAACTCTGTAAGAAGATCCACGTTACCTATCTTTGCCACAAGATGCAATGCTGTCTTACCTGTCGTTAATTATGAGAAGAAAATTTAAAAAGGTAATGATCTAAAATAATTGATAATAGAAAAGTATTGTGGAACATAGAACTTTATGGGAGAACACTGTAGTTATAATCTTTTTATGGAATATTACAAATACTAGTGATATCTTTCTAGCTTTTTTACCATACAAATTACAGTAGAAATTCTATAAATTAATAATGTTGGGACTTTGATATTTTATTAATTTATAGAGTTATTAATTTATCGATTTTTGATAAAATAATTTTTGTTTTATAAATAATTAATTAAAATAATATTTTCTTTAAAATTTATAATATTTTCCAAACTTTTCATTATAAAATTAGAGATAAATGAGAAAGATGTTTTAATTTTAATATGAAAACAACAATCTATTCATATTTTAATAGAATATCATAATTATATATATTTATATAAAATTATTTTATATAATATTTATTAATTTATAATTTTACTGGGACTATATTTTATATATGTTTTAAAAAAAATATTAACTTATTAATTTATCGATTTGTATTAAATTTTGAACCAGCTCAACTTGGAACCGAGCAAAATTATTGATTTATCGATTAATCGAATATTAATTTATAGAGTTTCTACTGTAATAGCAAAATAAATATAAATTAATGGTAGACTAAATACAGGCTAGTGGTAGATTAATTAATTATATAATTGAAATGAAATTAAATACAGATAAATGACAGATAAAATGCAAATTAAAAATATATATATATATATATATTTATAATTCATAATATATTCTAGACACATGGAAAGGTCTAGACTAATCTCCTGAGGGAGGTGTAGCCCATAGATAGATCCTCTTTTCGGATATTCAAATGAGCCAAAAGCATGGACCCATAACCGTGTGGCCAAATGTGATTAATTTAGCAATTTTGTACTTGAGAGGAATCGATCACTGATCTTGGCCAACAGGCCAACTCCTCCTCAAATGACTATAAATATATTAGTGTATCCTTTTTACAATTTTTCCTAATAAAAAGTTTTTTTCACAATTAAATTGCCAACCAAACTATATAAATAAATGATTCTAAAAATTTTAAAATAGCATTTTGTTAACCTAATAAAACAAACACATAAAACAAAAACTTGGAGAACAAACAAGAATTTAGATTTTGCCCCCAAAAAAGAGAAAGAAAAAACGACCTTCTCTTCCACGAACACGAACAAGACTAGGATCAAACTTGACAAGCTCCTGTGCTAACTCAACTTGCTGATTCTCAACAGCAAGATGCAACGGACTAAACCCATCCTCATTTAGTTTCTTTGAAAATGATGGCATTAGAATCATCAGTTCCATCGCCAAATCCATCTCTCCGGTGGATGAAGCTTCATGGAGAGGTGTCTGGATGAAAGGTAAAACGTCGACATTCTTAAGATAACATGGATCCTTTTTAATACGAGAATATAGTTCATCAACGCGAACCGATTGAGTAACCAAAGGCAGACTTGATTCCATAGTTACAAAGAATTGAAAGAAAGAGATATATATGTAATGACCAGTTTAATAAGAAAACGAGTGAAAGCGCATTGTCACTTATATAGTGTTATCATTAACGACTAGTCTATATTAATTTGTTTTGTAGCGATTTTGGCATGGAAGATAGACAGAAAAACAAAGGGCCCGTTTCAAACAGAAAAAAACACAATGCTGCTTCTCACATTGCGTAGAATATTTGATTCAACGCTAGGATACAAAAATACTTGACTAAAGACTATTGAAAATATTTTAGGCTTATTAGAAGAAAGTTATTTGTTAGGAAATCGTCAAGAAGAAACATGTCCAAATATCTTCTTTTTCTTTTTCTTTTTCTGAGAGTTAAGTCTATTGACTTAATCATCACCAGTGAAATCGGTCACTCGTAGCTACGGGATCTTCTTCAACTTTGGTTTCATGCTGAGACGATAAGATAGTAGTTGATTCCTATTTTTTGTTTTTTTTTTGTTTTTGCTTTTTGTTAAAAGATATACTCCAAAATGACTCAAAGATATTTCTTTATTATTTATTTATTTCAGCATAATTACAATAATGAGTTGTTAATAAAATTATTTCAACATGCTTTTTCTGTGAAAAGATAGATTTCTTAATTACTTATTTATTTCAACATATGCTTCAAGCAATTTTGTACTTTCAAAACATTCAAAAAGGAAGCCAATTCTGTGTTTTCAAATCATGAGTTCCATCGCCAAATCTGTCTTTTGGTACATAAAACTTCACATCAAACTTAAAATGTCGACTTTTTTTTTGTGTGTGGAAGAATATGCATTCTTTTGAATTTTTGACTCGGTTGTTTTGCCACTCAGAATAACATATTATTTAAACAAATCTTGGTTTGTGTCGCAAGTTTGAAATGAAAATCGAAAAATGTGATGCTTCTTCTGGAGTGTGCTCGTTCTGATCTTCACCGCCTCTCTGCATTCCTCGAATCACCGATCCACAGCTCAAATGTGATAACTTGAATCCCTTTTGTAAGGTAAAGTATACAATTTCTAGTAAGCAAACACTTCTTATTTCTTCCTGGTAAGTTTTATTCAAATGATACAATCTTTAACATCGTACGAAGCTATATGGAACATACAAGGAAGCAAAGTAGAAACAGTTAAAGCGGCTAAACCATGGTCCTCAAGCTTACGGAAATCAGCTCACTCTTGGGATTTGGTACTTTCTTCTGTCTATGACGCTTCCACCTCACGTAGAATACAAGTCCGTATATGAGAAATCCCAATACAACCATCTGATACATGTAGACGAATATCGAGGGAGAATACTTCATGTACACCGAAAGTCCATAAGAACATACGAGAGGCCCCATAATGAAGATATACCACCAAGTATACGCACTACCAACTGGTAAAAGTATAAATGTCAACACAATAGACAAGATAAAGGCTGTAGTATTGAATCCCCATATTAACACAAACTCTGATAAGACATCTGCCAATCTGCAGCTTTCTCTTTGTCTTTGTCTACCGGTTGAGTTGCTGTCTGATAAGTAGCTGTGATGATGAGAGCTGTTATTACCAGAAGTGCGTTCCGTGCTCCATCTGGCGTGCGGCTCCTATAACGTGCCATACCCGTTGAGCAATATTCCCAGAACGTGACCGGTGCTCTCAAGACCACAGACTTTGGCTGAGCTTTGGACAAAGATTCCCCAGTCTTGCCCCCTGATTTTTTTATGATTTTCGCCGTGGCTTTGTTCATGTGAGAGCCATTGGCTCCTGAGACATCAAGGGCTGTCAAACCAATATTGTTCTTGATGTTTCGGTTCAAAGACATGCATTTCAACAGCTGTTTTACTGCCTGTAGGTGTAATAAAGTATGAAATAAGCTAAAACTATAGCTAGTAATTAAGTTATTGTGGGCTTTAAAAAAATGATTACGAGTTGTGTGAAGACAGAACATACCTTGTGATCATTCTGGTACGCTGCTAGGTGCAACGCCGTGTTGCCTTCACGGTCACGTCTGTCCAGGACATGAATCTCAGTTGACCTAGCATCCCTTTTGCGCCTTCTCTGTATCCACCCTGTGATGAGTTTGAGCTCTTCATGTTTTTTGTTCATGACTGCGATGTGTAATGCAGTTTCTCCTTTCACATTCACATCTCTAATGCTCTCAGGGCATGCTTGAAGAAACTCTGTAAGAAGATCCACGTCACCTTTCTTTGCCACAAGATGCAATGCTGTCATACCTATCGTTAATTATGACCAATAAAAATATTAAAATCTTTCATTAAGTAACTCCATGTAATAAGATGTTAAAATAACATTTTGTTAACATAATATGACAAATTCGATGAACAAAGAAGAATTAAGATATTGAAGTAACTAAATTACCTCCTCTTCCACGAATACGAATAAGACTGGGATCAAATTTGATTAGCTCTTGTGCTAACTCAACTTGGTGGTTCTCGACAGCGAGATGCAAGGGACTAAGCCCATTCTCGTTTAGTTTCTTGGCAAAAGATGGCTTTAGAATCATCAGTTCCATCGCCAAATCCATTTTCCCGGTAGATGAAGCTTCATGGAGAGGTGTGTGGATGAAAGGTATAACGTCGACGTTCTCAAGAACACATGGATCCTTTTGAATAAGAGAATATAAATCATCAACGCTGCCCGATTGAGTAACCAAAAGCAAACTTAATTTCATACCTATAAAGAAAGAGATATATTTATAATGACCAATTTGATAAGAAAACGAGTCGAAGCAATTTCATTTATATAGTTTTTTCATTAACGAGTGTCAAGTCTATTTAGTAAGATTATCACCAGTTAAATTAGTTAGTAGCGAATTTGCGTGGAAACTAGAAAGAAAAACAACGGGCTGGTTCCTCACTGAAAGAATACAAAGGCGGCTTCTCACCTAACGTAGAATCTTTGAATAAAATATAAAATACCTGACTTAAGACTGTTAAAAATATTTTAAGCTTAAAAGAAAGTTATTTGAAAGAAAAAACGAGTCCAAGCAGTTTCGTTATATATTATATTTATATTTCTGAGCGTTAAGCCTGTTAACTTAAATTATCATATAATTAAATTGGTCAGTCGCGATTTTGCGTGCATGAAAAACTAGAAAGAAAAACAAAGACCGGCTTCTAAAAGAAAAGCACGTAGGCGGCTTCTCACCAAACATAAAATCAGTGAATGTTCGACAAAAAAAAAAAGAATCAGTGAATCAACGCAAAAATATAAAATATATGACGTAAGACTGTTAAAATTGTATACGTTAAGCTTAAAAGTGAGAAGAACTCTAAATGTTTTCAAAAACTTAGAGCTACTAATGGCCTTAATTACTTATTTATTTCAACATGCTACTGGAGTAAAAAAAAAATTGTTGTTGTTAAAAGAGATTTCTTAGTTATTTATTTATTTCAACATGTTAACACTAGTGAGTTGTTAATAAGTCTTAATTTCAACATGATTACACTCTAGTGCTCTACTAATAGCCAATAATGGCCTTAACTACGTATTTGTTTCAACATGCTATAGAAAAACACGCCTTAATTACTTACTTATTTATTTCAACATGCTCCAAGCAATTTTGTACTTCAAAAGTACAGTTTTCAAACCATCAATTCCATCGCCAAATCTATCTTTTAGTACATAAAACTTCATGGAGGATATGTGCATGAAACGTAAAATGTCGACGCTTTTTTATGAAGATCACATGCATTCTTTTGAATAAAAGCATTAGGTCCATTGAGTAACAAAAATCACCAATTAAAACTAGTCAATCTCGATTATTATGAAAATTAATAACCAAACAAACCTGTGAACATCCATCAGAACCATAGCGAGTATTTTTGTTTTAATACATATAAAAAAATAGTTTCCCTCATACATTAAAAACATTAGAAATGTAATGACAACTTGGGTCTCCCAAACCAAATGGTGGTGATCTAGTGGTTTCCACTTAAAGAGGAGTTGTTTTATTGGTCGAGGTGGCCAAGCTGAAGGTGGTCACTCGTACTGGATAACACTAGTCCTACTATCCACAAGACTTGGATCGTAACGGAATGTTGAAGCAGGAGGAGCCTCTACCTTAGTCCTGGAAGAAGAAGACGATTCAAAAATCGAGGATGGCAGAGAGTAGAACAACGGATCTTTCTCTGGCGGCGCAACCCCACAAACTTCAAATTTCTCCATTCCTTCTCCATCACATCCACAAAGTTGCAGCGCCTTCTCTATTGCGTCTTCTCCCACAAGAGTCAAGGTGGTTGGCGTGAAACGGATAAGGCTCAACGACAAACTTGTGTCCTCCCACGTAGCTATATTTTTTTTTATAACTTGTTTTAATACATAAACAAAGACATTAGAAACATTAAGAAGTAATAGCGACTTGGCTCCACACACACGTTCACAAAATGATTAATTAACCGAACGGAGATCAGTAAAATAGCTCGACAATTAAACGGGTGGTCGGGCTCTCTTGAATCGCTCTTACCCATTCCTCAGCAGAAGGCTCGGGAGGAGCTCGTATCTGATTCCAATAATCCACAAGAAATTTCCATGGCAGACAGACTCTCGAAGCAACTCTCGAAGCAGGAGGTGCCTTTTCCGAGGAAGAAGAAAATTCATAAAACCAGGATGGCATTGTGGTAGACATCGGGCATCTCTCTGGCGGCGCAACCAGAGAAACTTCCGAATTCTCCATTCCTTCCCCATCACATCCACCAAGTTGCAGCGCCTTGTCTACTGTGTCTTGTCCGTCTAGAGTAACGTAAGCCATGCTGTAAAAAGCAACAAACAAAAACAAATCTTTGGTTAGCATTTGATAACATGAGAGAGCTATAGGAAAAACATTCGCGAGGAAGAAGCCACAAACCTTTGGCCAACAGAAACCCAAGGGATACGTCCACATATAGAGACATGTTTCGTTAGCATGTCCTTGACATAATCCAAGGCAAGCGAAGTGTCATATCCCCTAACTCCCATCCTAATAATTTGATTGCAGGAGATAATATCATCCACATGACAAGAACCCTATCTTACACACAAGAATCTCCAAAAAAACAACTTACACGTATCTTCGCCGATTGTCTGCGTCTCTCATAGGAGACAACTCAGAGTCAAGGTGGTTGGCATGGAACGGGTAAGCCTCAACGACTAACTTGTGTTCTCCCATGTAACTTCCATTAAGTTTCAACGCCTTCACTTCTGCACCTCCTCCCCGAAGATAAACCAAGGCAAATCTGTAAACACACAATCAAAGAGTTTTGTAAACACACAACCATTGTAGCTTAAATAGCTGACAACACGCCACAAACCTGTTGAGGATAATAGGGGTGACGCTGACAACGTTTCCGGGAATATAAACATGTATCACATCTCCACATGAAGCGAAGAATTTTCCCATAGACATAACGAAATCATAGGGAGGGAGCGAAGTGTCGTATCCCTCAACGTAAATCCTGCTCATCATGCGACTGCAAATAGATTTAATAATATTATTAACATCTTGCAGATACACATCTAAAAAATAAAAAACAATTTTTTACCTGCTTTTTCGAATGTCTGCATCACCACTATCGTTCAATTTCAGACCCTAAGGTACAAATATCAAATTGAGAAACAGAGATTAAAGAAATCCGTAAGGGTCGAACAAGAGATTACTTTGATGGCGGATCCGACCATGGAGAAGTTGGGAAGTTGCGACTGCCTGCGCTAGGTTTTCGAGAGGCGATATATTATTTTTCGGTTCTAGGGATTTAGGTCTTTCTAGAGGCTGTCGAAGAGGAAGAACATGTTCTGATTTTGGGGGCACATGTGTATTTTTTCTTGCAGATCTTTATATCTATAAAGCACATGTGTATTTTTACATTTTTAAATCAATTTTTAAATTTTTCATTTTAAAATGGTTTTATTTCCCGGATACGTTGAAATCGTATCATGTGATACTTTGTTCTGTCTATGACGCTTCTACCTCACGTAGATTACAAGTCCGTATATAAGAAATCCCAATACAACCATCAGATACATGTAGAGGAATATCGAGGGAGAATACTTCATGTACACCGAAAGTCCATAAGAACATACGAGATGCCCCATAATGAAGATATACCACCAATGATAGACACTACCAACTGGTAAAAGTATAAATGTCAACACAATAGACAAACACAATAGGTTTTAGAGAAGTTTAACAGAGTTACAATTGTTTTTTTTTTTAACTTTCAAAATTGAACCACCCATGAAAGTAAATAAAATAAGATTGGAAATGTCGATATAAAATCAACTACCGGTAGAAAAGACTAACAAAATAACAAAGATTCTTATTTTATCCTATATTATTTGTTTTTCAGTTAAATTTTGTCACTTAGTTGCAAATATTTAGCTTTTTCAATTTCTTTTAAATCTCAATTAATATTACTTTTTATTATTTAGCTACTCATAAATTTATTGTTTTCAAATCATGATAAAACAATATCCATTAAGTTGGACTCTTCAACTCATTATTTCTCTAATAATATTTATGCTGTGAACACTTTCAAAAAAAAATAGGAGAGAAACTAATTATCGCAAAAAACAACAAACATAAATCAAATTTTCAAATAAAAAAAAACAGCCGTGGTAATAATTATCAAAGAAGAAAGGTGGGCTTATAATCTCTTTTATATAAAAAGAATAGATTTCCTGCTCTCTAAAGGTTGTCACATAGACAAAAATAATCACCAAAATAATTAGCCAATAAAAATATAACAAATTGCCACATCGTTAAATTATAAAAAAAACTTAACAATAAGAATAAAACAATATATCACTCATCTCATTTATATAAAAAGAAAAGATTTCAAGGCTTGGAAGAACTGCCACAACAGCGAAAATAATCAGCTAATGATATACTCCAAAACTGCTATGATATTTTTTTCAACTAATAACTTAAAATCATTTCACAAAATAATTTATTAATCAAAACTTCTTCAAATTTTGCCTAAAAAAACTTGCATAATTCTTAAATTTTCAACAAAGGAATAAAGAATGAAGCCCAACACAAAAAAAAACAAAAAAACAAAAACAAGATTTCAAGGCTTCTAAGGTCAGCCACATCCAGTGGCGAGTCCACTTGAGAGAATATTGTGTCAATTGAACCCATATAATTTTGAAAATTATCTTAGTTTTTAAAGAAATCGGATGGTATTGGTGGCAAATCTGGATTTTTTTTACATCATTAAACCCAGTCAAATTAATTTCTGGTCTCGCTACTGGCCACATCAGCAAAAATAATAAGCCAATGATAGGCTCCAAAACTGCTATACTTCTCGATTTTCAATCTTCTCGCCTCCAACTCACCAGAAATGGAATCATCCTTTACTAAACACAAACTTTACTCTTTAATTACTGACAACCAAACTGGCAATAAACAAGAAAGCTTAAATAAATGGACCAAAAACGTCTAGAAATCCAAAAAAACATAGCAATGAAGATGTAAAAAAAAAAAGATATAGCAATGAAACACATAAGGTATAAATAATATACAGCTCTATCACAAATGACGTCTAATGTGTCTCATGCTATTAATGTAAGCAACATAAATATACAATCTCACAACTGTTTTTCATTTTATTTATAATATGAGTCGAGCAAGAATCAGTCTCAGTCATAGTATTGTTGGAGCTGGAGAACGTCTTTCTCGCCAAAAATAAAACTTGAGGAGTGGCTCGGTTTTCTTTCTTCTAGAGAAAGGTAATTTAATCAATTGTAAAATTTTGATCTTATAACAGATCTCAAGTTTTGAAAGCTGATATAGAGTTTCATATTGTTCGTTGTAACCATACATTGTGGAGAAATCGATGTAAAAGCTTAACTAAAGAACCAGTGATCGAAGACAGTTACTCACAATTTCTTAATTCTCATTTGCAAAAGTTCATGAAACATAAAACTGATTTTTTTTTTCAAATAACATATAACTATAAACTTCCACACTCTTCACCTATATTGGCAAATGATCGAGCTAGCTAAACTATCAAACTAATATTATATCAATTAATTAATAAAGAACTCTTATAATGAAGAAGTTTACTGTTAATCGCCATTTGTTTTATTTGTTGAATATATAAACTAATTATAAAATATCTATGTACACACTGAATCTTTAAAAATTTATAAGTAGAGAAATGCATAGTATATAAAAATTAAAAACAAAATCCTAAGGTTCATGAATAACGAAGTAAGAATTGAGTTTTTTTTTTTAAAAGCATCAAACAAAAGGGAAGATTATGCAAAAAAGTGTAAATCTCTCTGATGTCCAAATTTAGACAACAGATTTCTAATATGCACATGTTATGTTAAGAATATGCACTAAAAATCTGTTGTCCAAATTTACACATAGTTTTCAAATTTAGACAACAGATTTCTAATATATAGACACATTAGACGTCTACTTCTCAGAGTACACTTCTCGGGGAAGTCTACTTTCGTAAGTAGACTTCTCGCAGGTCATTTTTGCAATTGACCAAAAAATCAAATATTTTTCAATTGCTAAAATGACCTGCGAGAGGTCTACCTACGAATGTAGACTTCCCCGAGAAATCTACTCAGAAAACTAGACTTCTCCGAGAAGTCTACTTTCGTACGTAGACTTCTCGCAGGTCATTTTTGCAATTGACCAAAAAGTCAAATATTTATAAATTGCAAAAATGACATGCGAGAAGTCTACTTTTCATAGAGAAGTCTACTAATCTTTTGGCAATTGCAAAACTAACCTGCGAGAAGTCTACTTTTATCCGAGAAGTCTACTTTTCTTGTTTTTTTTTTAAATTCATTTTTATACAATATATAACAAATTTTTAAGATTTTGTGATCCTAAGCTTCTGTTATTAAGTTTTCTTGCTTATGTATAAGTTTTACATGTTTATATTTTATAGGTATAGTCGAATCAATTTTCATGTTTTATATGATACTTAGCTTATTAAGAGTAGACTTCTTAGTCTACTCTAGAAGTCTACTAAGTAGACTTCATCCGACTTTCAGAGAAGTCTACTTATTCAATTTTGATATCTAATGTGGTTTGGATTTTGTTCATTTTTCACAGAGAATGGTTTACATACTCGCTGTTTATGGAGAATGGGTTAAGAGTGAATCAGTGTGGCAGTTCGAGGTGGATAATAGCAAAGGGGGGCGAATGTTGTTCTTAAGAGATGGTTGCACACATGGTGAACTTCTTGGTGAATGTTGGCAAAGGAGGGCGAATAGCAAAGGAGGGCGAATGTTGTCACCTTTAAGTTATGTAAAATTAATGTCTTTAAGAAGTCTACTCGAGACAGGAGAAGTCTACTTCAGAAGTCTACTCAAGACAAGAAAAGTCTACTCGGTTGACAAGTTATATAAATGAGAGAAATGTCCCTCTAAATCACTTTTAAGTTATGTAAAATTAATGTCTTTTAGAAGTCTACTCAAGATAAGAGAAGTCTACTCGGTTGACAAGTTATATGATATAAATGGGAGAAATATCCCTCTAAATCACTTATAAGTTATGTAAAATTAATGTCTTTAAGAAGTCTACTCGAGACATAAGAAGTCTATTTTGTAGAATAGAAAAGCATAGATAATTTAGGAATTTGATACAAAACATTCAATGCAATTCAACATTACATAGAAAATAACTCTCTAAACAAACAAACATTTAAGGACCACTAATTATAAATCTTAAAACTAGCATAAGAAATTACTATTTAACTAAAATCTCTGAAAATTATGTATGCAACTGAAGTCTGTTTGATAAGTCTGCTCGAGATCGAGAAGTCTACTCGAGAAGTCTGCTCGAGATCGAGAAGTCTACTCGAGAAGTCTACATTCAGATCTGCAAAAAAAATCAACAAAATTCAGCTCTGCAACAAGAACAAAAAATTTAGATCTGCAACAAAATTCAGATCTACAACAAAATCTACAAAATTTATACAACAATAAACTCAGATCTACAATTATAAACTTAGATCTACAACAATAAGCTCAAATCTATAATAATAAGCTCGGATCTATAATAATAATCAACTATATTTATAACATTCAGATCTGTAAAAAAATCAACAAAATTCAGCTCTGCAATAATAACAAAAAAATTAACAAAATCTACAAAATTTATACAATAATAAACTCAGATCTATAAAATAAACTTAGATCTACAACAATAAGCTCAAATCTATAATAATAAGCTCAGATTTGCAATATGAACACAAAGCAAACAAAAAGAGGAACACAAAAGCTCAGATTTGCTTACCACTACCATAACCTGCAAGTGAGAGGATGTTGAATCCAAGATAGAGAGGATGGAGAGGATATTGATAGCAAGAGAGGAAGGAGAAGAAATTCATGGCCAGAGAGAAGGGAGAAGAGAGAGAGGCGTTTTTTAGATAGAGAGAGACTTTATTGTTAATACAGTTAGGTTAAACTCTCCTTATATATGTAGAAAAAAATTCGTTTAAGTAGACTTAAATCTACTCGAGAAGTCTTCTCGAAAGTCTCTTAGTATTGATTTTTATCCTAATATATCTATGATGATTTAAATTGATTATTTTTTGTCAAATTTTATTTTTAATATGTGTAAAAAAGTATATATTTGTTGTTATGTATCTAATTTTTTTTATCAAATTATCTTTTATGATTTTGAAAATTAATTGTAAACATATTATTAAAGAGTAGACTTCTTGGTCATAAGGGTTAAAGTTGTAATTTCACTATCCCTGTGAGTTATTTTTGTCAAACTGCAATAGGGGGTCTAGTTTTGCATTTCAACTCAAATTTTGAGTCATATTCAGCAATTCCCCCCATAAACAATCACTACACCTAGAAAATTTAAAACATCTAACATTTTGAAACAAATATCTTTTGTTATAAAACATCTTTTATTTATGAACATGGAGAGTAATTGACAAAAAATATATCATTTTTAATTTTTTGCCAAAAACATAAATACTTAAATTTTGTAGCAAAATTATATTTATATATATATAATAATAATAATATCATGTCACATGTACCAAAAAATACATATTACAATTACATCATCATTTTACGACATATTTTATTTTTAAAAACTAAACATATCATAT